ACAGGCATAACACTCATACACATAAAAAATAAAGTTAAAAAAAAATCTCACGGGGGACTAGAGATGGCTCAGCAACTAAGAGCACTGGTTACATTCCCAAAGGACCCAGGTTCGGTACCCAGCACCCACATAATGACTAACAACCATCCGGGGGTCCGATACCCTCTTCTGGCCTCCATGAGCATTGCAGGACACAGGTACACTTACATATATGTAGGCAGAACACTCATACACATTAAAAAATATATAAATGTGCAGGGCATGGTGGCGCACACCTTTAATCCCAGCACTTGGGAGGCAGAGGCAGGCAGATCTTTGTGAGTTTGAGGCCAGCCTGGTCTACATAGTGAGTTCCAGGACAGCTGGGGCTACAGAGAGACCCTGTCTGAAAAAGACAAAAAACGGTCTGGAAAGATGGCTCAGCAGTTAAGAACACTGGTTGTTCTTGCAGAAGACTCGGGTTTGAATCCCAGCACCCAAATGGCAGCTAAGAACTGTCTGTAACTCCAGTCCCAGGGGACCCGAAAGCCTCTTCTGACCTCTGTGGGCATTGCACGACCTGGGTGCACTTACCTACATGCAGGCAATACATGTGTACACATAAAATAAAAATAAATAAAATTTTAAAAAATTTAAAAAACAAAAAACAAAAACAAAAATATATAAATGTATGTAGGGGCCAGTGAGATGGCCAAGCTTGACAACCTGAGTTCGATCCTCAGCATCCACAAGGTGGAAGGAGAGAGCCTACTCTCAAGGTGGTGGTTCTCTGACCTCCACATGCATGATATGGTGCAGTGTGCCCACATCCAAACACACACAAACATGCATACAAAATAAAAATGTAATTGAAGTGGTTAAGAGCACTGACTGCTCTTGCAGAGAACCTAGGTTCGATTCCCAGCACCCACATGGCAGCTAACAACCATCCATAACTCCAGTTCCAGGGAATCTGACACCTTCTGACCTCTGCAGGCATTGCATGACACAGGTACACTTACACACATGCATGACAAACACTCATATACATAAAAAATAATAAAAATTAAAATAAAAAAAAAACAAATCCCTCATGCAGCATAAGATCCAGTCAAAATAACCCAACATGAAAGTCAACAAATGAGATCTAATAGACACAAATTCTGGAAAAATGCATAGCTAATTAGGAAATTAAACAGCTCAACAGTCTGGCAGTAAAGACATGAATAATTCATAATTAATGCAGTATATATATTTTAAAGACTTCCATTATTCCTTTCTCTCTGGAAAATAAAAAATCCATTTTTTTTCCTCTTGCTTTTACCCAGAAGTGAAAGGTTGGTAAGTGGTAATTAGCACAGCTCCCATCACAGCTGATTCTCTAATGGGGACCGACATTTGACTGGGGTAGAAAGAATGGAATAAAGTTAATGGAGAGCTCATTAGTCCCAGCTGTTTCTCTGATGGCCTCTTCTCCTTAACAGGCAGGCCTCGCCCACTCGCTATTTTTAGGGACATTGCTGTGTAGGAAGGTGAGTGGGTTCAGGGGTGACCTAATGTGTTTCTCACTACAGCTTTGGGCTGGAGTTTGTAGACTAAGGTCTTAAGCTTACAAAACCACGGAGCATCAATAGCACCTCCAGCTTCCCTTGCATCTCTCCAACCGGGGAGGTGAACGGACCGCTCACTTTCTCCACTAGGTCCTGTTCTCTTTCATATACACACTAAATTAAAATACAAAAACAAAAATCCCTGGTGTTCCAAGGTTAGTTCAGTGTAGCTTGACTCATTCTCCAGCCCATATTCTTTGTCTTTTTTTAGGTTTTTAAAATAATACTTTATTTTTGTTTTATGTGTGTAAATGTTTTGCCTGAATGTATGTAAGTACACCCATGTGTGCAATGCCCATGAAGGCCAAAAGAAGGTATCCCCTGGAACTGGAGTCCTGGACAGTTGTTAGCCATCATGTGGTTGTTGGGAATCAAACCAGTGTCCTCTGTGAGAGCAGCCACTGCTCTTAAATGCTGCAACATCTCTTCAGACTCCATTTTCTCTGTCCTCCCCCCTCTGTCTCCCCCTCCCTCTTGCTCCCGCCCTCCACAGGGAGCTTACTCTGTAGCTCCGCCTGCCTTGAACTCAAAACCATTTCTTAGTTCACTCTGTCCTGGGATTCTAAGTGTGTACCACCATATCTAACCCCACGTTTTTCTCCATTGCCTAACCAGTTGGACTGCTTGAAGGTTTTATTGAAAGTACAGATTACTGTATTAGTTACTTTTCTGTTGCTGTGATAGAAACACCATGACCAAGGGAACTTATAAAAGGGAGGCAGAGGCAGGCGGATCTTTGTGAATTCGAGGCCAGCCTGGTCTACATAGTGAGTTCCAGGACAGCTAGGGCTACAAGGAGACCCTGTCTCAAAAAGACAAAAAAAAATATATATATTTTTTAAAAAGTCAGGCATGGTGGTACCTGCCTTTAATCCCAGCACTCGAGGCAGAGGCAGGTGGATCTCTGTGAGATGGAGGCCAGCCTGGTCTACATAGCAAGTTCCAGGCCAACTGGAGCTACAGGGAGACTCTTTCTTAAAAAGACCAAAAAAAGCCAGGCATGGTGGTGCATGCTTTTAATCCCAGCACTTGGGAGGCAGAGGCAGGTGGATCTCTGTGTGTTCAAGGCCATCCTGGTCTACATAGTGAGTTCAAGGACAGCTGGGGCTACAGGGAGACCCTGTCTCAAAAAGACCAGAAAAAAAAAAATTCCACGGCTGGCCTAGAACTCACTATGTAGACCAGGCTGGCCTCAAACTCAGAGATCTACCTGCCTCTGTCTCCCAACTGCTGGTAGATTAAAGCCATGCACCACCACAACTGGACAAAACCTTTATTTTTTTTTAAAAAAATTATTTTTCTTTCATGTTTTTCCTGCACGTATGTAAGTGTACCACATCCATGCCCACAGAGACCAGAAGAGGGCATCAGCTCCCTTCAAACTGGAGTTAACAGTTAGCCACCATATGGTTGATGGGAACTGAACTCAGGTCCTCCGCAAGAGCAGACAGTGCTCTTAACCACTGAATGATCTCTCTAGTCCACAAAGTAGCATTCTTGATCTGAGTATATTAAAAACATAGGGCTAGGGGTGACAGTAATAGAGAGCACTTGCTCTCTATTTGACCCTCAGTTAAAAAAAAAATGGAGGTGTCAATATAATCAGTGAATATTTTCAGAATCCAGTTGGTTAACCACTGTGATGCTACAGTGGCCCTGTCACTTCTGTACTGCTCCAACACCACCAGCACTGTGGCTGTGGCAGGAGCATGATGTCAATTATGTTGTAGATCACTTAACACTTACTGCTGGGTTTGTTTCCCAGCACCCACACAGAAGCTAACAATGGTCTATAACTTCAGTCCTAGGGTATCTGATGCCCTCTTCTGGGGTCTGTGGGCACTGCACACACAAGGTGCACTGACATACATGCAGGTAAAACACTAACACCATAAAATGACAATAAGTGAAAATCCTTAAGAAAAAAAAAAGCTATGCTGTAGCCATATCACTAGGTTGTTTCTGGATGGAACTGCCTCCAGTTTACTCCACTGGTATACCAGCGATCTGGATGTAGGATGCAGGCTGACCCAGTGGGCTGAAGGTTGAGCTCAGTGGTAGGAATGCTTGACCAGCATGCATGAGACCCTGGGTTTGATTCCCCAGATTTGCTAAAACAAAGCACACAGACCCAAAAGGAAATAGGGAAGTGGCAGACTTCTAGAATTACAGCCAGAATCCCAGTCCTCTAATTACTCTTGTGACAGGAAGTTATGTCACTGAACTCTGATCATGTATACAATGGGAGCGGACACTATGCCCTATCTATTCATTTGTTTTTGAGGCTTTAAGTGCTAGAACACAGCTTTAAAAAAACAAAACAAAAAACCTTTAATGACTTTAATGGGACCATGCCTAGTGACACACATCTGTAATCCCAGCACTTGTGAGGCAGAGGCAAGATAGGAGTTCAAGGCTTTCCTAAGCCATGTAGTGAATTTGAGGTCAGTCTGGGCTAAATGAGACTGACCTCAAAAACAAAACAATTCTTAGGGACATTACTGTCCCTGCAGGGGCATTTTGGAAGTGTGTGCAGATGCATCCAACTGTCTCACTAGGTGGAGGTTGCTATTAGCATCCAGAGAATGGGCAGTGGATACCAGTTTTGTTTTGTTTTTTTTTTTGAGATAGGGTCTCCCTGTAGCCCCAGCTGACCTGGAACTTGCTATGTAGACCAGGCTAGCCTCAAACTCAGAGATCCATCTGTCTCTGCCTCCCAAGTGCTGGTATAAAAGGTGTGTACCACCATGCCCAGCATTTTCTTAAAAAAAAAAGATTTTATGTTTATGAGTGTATTGCTTGCATGTGTGTAAGTGCACCTGTGTCATGTAATGCCCAGGGAAGTCAGAGGAGGATGTCAGTCCCCTGGAACTGGAGTTACAGATGGTTGTTAGCTGCCATGTGGGTACTGGAAACCAAACTTGGGTCCTCTGCAAGAGCAGCCAGTGCTTTTAATCACTGAGGTATCTCTCCAGCCACCTGGTCTACACAGGGAGTTCCAGGCCAGCTGGGGCTACAGGGAGACCCTGTCTCAAAAAGACCAAAAAAAAAAAAATTATTTAATGTGTATGAGTGTTTTACTTGCATATGTGTAAGTACATGCAATGCCTGTGGAAGCCAGAAGAGGCTGTCAGATCCCCTGGAACTGGAGTTACAGATGGTTTTAAGCCACCATGTGGATGCTGGGAACTGAACCTGGTCCTTTGCAAGAGCAGCTGGTACTGTTAACCACTGAGCCATCGCTCCAGTCCAAATTTAGGGTGATTTGATGTTAATATAGACAATCTCGGTTTCAATGTCTGGTCACAGCAGACCGTGGCAACTGCACCACTTTATTGGGAAATAATTTCCTTTGTATTTCTGAAATGTTGCATTTGGGGCGTTAATGATTTTGAACAAATGAGGTAGGTAGGCTGTCAGCTAAGGATTTTATTTAAGGGTTAAGAGGCATTACAAAGTAAGCTGTACAACGGGGACTATTGGGGCTTACAAAGTGATAGTATAAGGCATGAACAAAGGCTGAGCAGATCTGAGCCATGTAGATGAGGAGGCAGTTCTGTTTTCTGTACCCCACCTTTACCCTAAGATTTAAGCTCAATCACTAGCACCTAAAATGAACATACATACAAACAAAATGAAGAAATAACTGGCCACTGCACCTGCATAGTATCATTCTCTTCTGAGCATGCATAAAGGTCTCGTACATCTGTGACTGGTCACCTTTTCCCTGAAAGACTGTATTGTCGATTACAAAACTTGCAGAACAAGTCTGAACAGAAATATCTATAAACAAGAGTGCACTGCTCTGCGCCCAGGAGCATGGAGCCAGAGTATGGACATTGCTTAATGGCCTTTTCTACCCCCTGCTGCTAAAACAGATTAGAAAACAGAGAAGAGTTTCACAGTGGTAACATAATTTCACAATACTGACTTAGACATCAGAAATGGAGAATTAGACTCTGTATGTCCCCATGGTCTTCAAATTTAGTGTGTGCCTTGTAACAAACTTGGCAGCAAGATTCAGAACTTGAGAAACAAGTCTGTGGCCATAATTAACGCTCCATTAGACACCTTCTCTACTGTTACCTCTGTCGAAAGATCTCCTGCTCAAGTTGGAGAAGACAGTGCGCCCAAAATAGTTTCTTTTCATGGCCCTTGACAAGTACTTTTACACTGAGCCTAAGGTCTACCACAAGCTAAACACGAGCTCCACCTGAGCCTGGACAGATACTTTTGTGGGTTTTGTTTTTGTTTTTGAGACAAGGGTCTCTTTATAGCCCCAGCTGGCCCTGAACTCACTATGTAGCCTAGGCTGGCTTGAACTCACAGAGATCTGCCTGCCTCTTCTCCCAAGTGCTGGGCCTAGAGGCATGCTCAAAGGACATAAATACACATACACAAGGAGTGGGATGTCCTCGAGCTCCATCTTTCTAAGCACATTGTGAGAGGGAGGAAGGGCATATGTGGAGGCCAAAGAGGAAGGGGGGACAGAGTAGAATGCAGATGGTGAAAGAGCCAGGTCACGGAATTTTCCGCGGCAAGGCTTGTTTCCGTATGCGATGAAAGGTGCTGCTACCTGGGTATTGTTCACATGGGGTCTTCTCGGGCTCGTTTGGGATGCTGCTGTTCTCCAGGCAGTGAATTCTTCCTTGAAGAGAGATTCCTTAGAGAATGCAAGCTCTGTACCTGCTGCAGGCGCAGGGCAAGCTCCTTGTTACATGCCTGCTGAACCATTTCCGTCTTCTTTATGTCCCAGTTCAAAGCACCGGCCAGTGCTCTGGGGTCTTCCCTGGTGACCAGCTGCAGCAAGAAGAAGGGCCACTGAAAACCGCTGCCCCGTGCCCTGCCTCCGCGCCCATGACTCAGCTCAGCCTTTCCTTCTTTTTTCTATTTTTCTTTTGAGACGGGGTCTCAAACTATGGCCCAGGCTGGCTTAGAACTATGAAATGCCTTTCATAGCATATGGTCACATATCTTATCTAAATCACTCAATCCCAACAGGAAATTAAGCCAAGCTCAAGTCAATACAGTTTCCTTCCCTTCTACCTGGAATTGGGAGGTACTGGGACACAGGAACGAAGGGTAAAAATAGCAGCTGTCTTGCTGGGTCCCCTTTGTCAAGCTGCTGATTCTCTGGTCTTAAGATGGTCAGCACAAGTTTTTTTTTTGGTGGTGTTAGGGGTCAAACCCAGGGCCCCATGTGTGTTAGGCAAGTGCTGTACAACCCGGCTTCACCCCTAGCCCTGAGTTTGCCTTTTTGTGCTACTGTACTGGCCTTGGGATCACCTAGGGATCTTTGACTCTATACCCGCAAGCCACCTCAGACACTGGGACCTTGCTATCCCTGCCTGTCATGTACAGTCATTTCATTACCAATTTGGGCCAGAAAATAATGACTGATGGTTTGAGGAAGCATACCCCTTTTCCTTTTTTAGTTTTAAATTAATTTTTTTTCTTTTTTAAAAAAAATTATTTTAATTTTATGTGTATGAGTGTACTGCCTGCATGTATGTGAGAGCACCCGTGTCATGCAATGCCGCGGGGGTCAGAAGAGGGCTTCAGCTTCCCCTGCAACTGGAGTTAAGGATGGTTCGTAGCCGCCATGTGGGTGCTGGGAATCAAACCCGGGTCCTCTGTAAGAGCAGTCAGTGCTCTTAACCGCTGAGCCATCTCTCCAGCCCCAATTTATGTTTATTTTATGTGTATGAGTGTTATGCTTGCATGTAAGTGCACCCGTGTCGTGCAGTGCCCACAGAGGACAGAACAAGAAGTGGGAGACCTTGGAACTTGAGTTATGGACAGTTGTTAGCTGCCATGTGGGTGCTGGGGTTTGAACCTGGGTCTTCCGCAAGAATAGCCAGAACTCCTAACTGCTAAGCCATTTCTCCAGCCCCCTTTTCTTTTAAAAGCCGTTGGATTAGATGAACTGGGATGTTGGCAAAAGCTCTGGCATACAGGGCAAATGGCAGCTATGTCAGCCTGCAGAGGTGGAAGAAATAATACATGCCTCTGCTGAGTCAAGCTACATCTCCAAGGCAAGTCACTCTGCAGTTCAGGGTCCCTGGTTCTCGCCCACCTCCAAATCCTGACTAGATAAACTCAGCTCTGGAGCAGGCTTCTTCAGTGTAGTAAGGATTTGGCTTGCAAGTGCAATCTTGGAAGCGATCTCTCTGCCTGTGTCAACTTCATCCACCCCTTCACTGAAGGCCGCTGTGGACTCTACAGACAGGAGAGAAAAAGAGCAGATTGTGAAACCAGTCACTCAACTGACAGGCCATGTAGGGAAAGAGAGAAACGTCGTCCCATGGGGCTTGGGCTGCTCTGTAAACTTGGCTCCCCAGTTCTTGGAGTAACCCCCCAGCAGGAGTCCTACCTTCTTGCTTGGACAAGATGCTGCCCTCCTTCTCCAAAGCCTGGAGATAAAGCTCCAGGAGCTGCTTGGACTGGCGGGCTTCCTCTCTCTGGTCAAGCACCTGCTGGACTGTGTTCTGCAGCCCCTGGACAGTGGCACAACTTTGGCAAAGTTCCCGAGCCAGGTCTGAACAGGGGATGTCGATGAGTGCCTGGCAGACAAATAAGGGCTGAGAAATCTCAGCGCAGCACTGCACCTCTCAAACGTTTCCATGTGAGAACCACCTCTTCTCAAGTTACTGACTTACGTCAGAGAGAAAGGCATGTGGCACTTCCAAAATTCCAGTGTGGCACCTGAGAAACGATGTATTAGTGCCTCAAAACCAAGCTGCACATAGTGGTGTTCGCCTTTAATTCTAGCACTCAGGAGGCAGAGGCAGGTAGATCTCTTGAGTTTTAGACCAGCCTGGTTTACATAGTGAGTTCCAGGTCAACCATGGTTACATGTCTCAAAATACCCAAAACACAAACAAAAAACAACCCACATTCAGAAATCTAAGCACACAGAAAATAAAGGAAGCATGTGATCATTTTTACAATGAGTCTGTATGAAGGGGTTTTTGTTTTTCAATTCATAACTATTATTGTATACATGTATGGTACACAGGACTTCAGGTGTGTACATGTCAGAGCTCAGGTGTGGAGGTCAGAGGTTCTCTCTTTCTACTATATGGGTTGTGAGGACTGAACTCACCAGGCTTTATAGCAAAGTGCCTTTACCCACCAAGTCATGTCACTGGCCGTTTTTTAAAAAAAACTGTTTTCAAGCCGGGCATGATGGAGCACACCTTTAATCCCAGCACTTGGGAGGCAGAGGCAGGCAGATCTTTGTGAGTTTGAGGCCAGCCTGAGCCTGGTCTACATAGGGAGTTCCAGGACAGCTGGGGCTACAAGGAGACCTTGTCTCAAAGAGACCAGAAAAAAAAAAATTGTTTTCAGGGCTGGAGAGATGGCTCAGCGGTTAAGAGCACTGATTGCTCTTGGAGAGGACCCAGGTTTGAATCCCAGCACCACATGGCAGCTAACAACTGTCCATAACTCCAGTTCCAGGGGATCTGATGGCCTCTTCTGTCCTCCGCGGGCATTGCATGACACGGGTGCACTTACCTACATGCAGGCAATGCACTTGAAGGAGAGTACCCCTCAGACCCCCTCCCTATCCTCTGACAAAAAGCTGCCCTCCACCTGACTCTGGAAATCCCCTCCATTGTTCAAATCCTTTCCTGGTATCTGTTTATGATTTCTATGGAAATGGTCTGGGGCAGAAGAGATAGAATATCCTGCCCCAGGTAAGCTAGCCAATGGCAGTATACCTGATACATCTGTGCATGGTCTCTATGGGAATAATCTGGGGTGGAAGAGAAAGAACGTTCTGCCCCAGGTAAGATAGCCAATGGCTGTATAGGTAAAGTCTCTGGAAATCAGCCCTAGATTGTTCCAATCCTTTCTTGGTTATTCTGTGTATAGTTTCTATGGGCATCCCCTGCTTTATGGTTTTTCTGCTTAAAAGCCCTACGTTTTCACTGCTCAGGGTCACAGCACAGTTCCCAAGACTGTCTGTGTCCCTAACCGGCTGGCTCCAATAAAGTGTTCCTTTTTACTGAGATTCAGTGTCCGAGTGGTCAATTTAGGGAATTTTACGGATCCCGAACATACTCATACACATAAAATAATAATAGATAAAATATTTCTTTTTAAAATTTATTTTTTATTTTATGTGTCTGAGTGTACTGCCTGCATGGAAATAAGTGCACCTGTGTCATGCAATGCCCTCAGAGGTCAGAAGAGGGCATCGGATCTCTTGGAACTGGAGTTAAGGATGGTTCCCAGCATATGGGTGCTGGGAACAGCCAGTGCTCTTAACCACTGAACCATCTCTCCAGCCAATGTGTGTGTATATATATATATATGTGTGTGTGTAGTTTTGAGACAGGGTCTCCCAGTAGCCACTGTTGGCCTGGAACTCACTATGGAGAACAGGCTGGCCTCACTCTTACAGAGATCTCTGCTTCTGCCTCCCAAGTGCTACTGTTTTTAAAATGTAACCTACACGCAGCTTCTATGTAACATGTTCAGTCTGTGAAGGATGAAAGACCTTAGCTATTTAAAGCTCCTAGAAGGACAATTTTTAGAGGGCTCAGTGTCTTGGGATATACCATGCTAAATTAAAAGTAGGCTTCGACACGACTCTTTTGAGAAGCCCACACCTACGTCCTGGCTGTGTTCTGCCTTTTTGTTTGTGTTCTTGAAACAAGGTCTCACTGTGTAGCCCTGGCTGGCCTTGAATTTATAGAACTCTGCCTGCCTCTGTCTCCTCAGTGCTGGAATTACAGGTGTGTGCCACCATGAAAGGCTTGCACTGTTCTTTTTCCAAGCATACCTCTCTTCCTTAGTGTCAGTGCTTAAATGTGCGCCGTGAACTGAACTCTTGAAGATCAGCAAATGTTCTTAAGTGCTGAGCCATCTCTCCAGCACCAAGTACTTTGTTTCTCATGTAGCTCAGCTTGACATGTAGCTGAAGATGGACCTGAATGTCTGATCCTCCTGCCTCCACTGCAGAGCTCACTATGTGCCACCACGCCTGCCTTTCTCTCTTTTTTGGTCTTTTTGAGACAGGGTCTCCCTGTAGCCCCAGCTGTCCTGGAACTCACTATGTAGACCAGGCTGGCCTTGAACTCACAGAGATACACCTGCTCCTGCCTTCCAAGTGCTGGGATTAAAGGTGTGTGCCACCATGCCTGGCTTTGCTGAATTTATTTTACAAATAACCTTGGTCTGAGCTTTGGCAACTCCAAATGTCTACCATTAAATCATGGTACACTCCTTGCTATATAGATCAGGCTGGCCTCAAGTGCTGCCTCCCAAGTGCTGGGATTAAAAGGGTGTGCCACCAAACCTGGCCTCAAATATTTATTTTAAGGCAAAGAAGAGGCCCCAGGGGAAATTTGGTGGGTGACCTGTATTCTGAGATCTACTACTCAGGTAAAAGCAGGCCCAGCAGCATGTGCCTGTGCCTATAACCCCAGAACAGGGGCGGGAGTGTGGGGGGGAATATATGATTGGGGAGGTGGGTAGGGAGGGGAGGCAGAGACAGGCAGAGCCTAAGGGCTTGCTGACCAGCCAGCCCAGCTGAAACAGTGAGCTTCCAGTTAGGTGACACTCTGCCTCAAAAAATAGAGAGCACAGAAGACACCCAATACTGACCTCTGGTCTCCACATACTCATGAAAGGTATGTGCATCCCTCACACACACCACAGACACAGATACACACCAAGTAAAAACAAAGCAGAGATGACTCTGTGTACATAAAAAGAGGAATAAAAAAATATGTATATAATTATTTGTATGTAAAATTATCTCCAGAGTGGGAAACTAACAGATCAGTTGCCTCCAGGCAGGGAAACCTGAGTGACTGAGACAGGACTCAGGCTTTTCCTGAGTTTCTTTTTGTTCAACAGCTTCACTAAATATAATTCATATATCATCTTCCATCAGTGGGTTTTTGCCCCATTCAAAGTTGTAACATGTGGCCTCCCCCACTGTACATACACACAATAGTGAGGTTCCGTTCCTCAGGCACTGCCCACCTTTTTTTTGTCGGTCTCACTGGCCCACAACTCGCCAACTTGCCAAGTAGCCTAGGCCAGCCGGCAGTGAGCCCCAGGGATCCACCTGCTTCCGTCTCTCCAGCACTGGGATTACAAGTGTGTGCCACAATGCTGGCTTTTTTTAGGTGGGCTCTGAGAGTTGAACCCAGGTTCTCGTGCCTGCTGTCTCCCCATCCCTGAGAGTCCATTCCTTTTTCTGGACAAATAGTGGCCCGCACTCACGTTTTACTGATCTAGTCACCAGCGGATGAACATCTGTGTTGTACTCGCCTTTTCTACTATCTGCTTATACCTCTTGGATTTTGAGCTTATGTGCATGTATTTATCTTACTTATTCAAAATAAATATGTAAGTTTAAAAAGTACGTAGTAGAGTGGTGGCGCACGCCTTTAGTCCCAGCACTCAGGAGGCAGTGGCAGGTGGATCTCTGTGAGTTCGAGGACAGCCTGGTCTACACAGAGAGTTCCAGACCAGCTGGGGCTACAGAGAGATCCTGTCTCAAAAGACCAGAAAAATGAAAAAAAATTTAAAAAATCATAAAATGAAGATTCTTAGCTGTAAGAATTATTTTAAAATTAATAATCATTAGGACCAGGTATGGTGATACATGCCTTTAGTCAAACACTCAGGGGACAAAGGCAGGCAAATCTCTGTGAGTTAAATGCCAGCCTGGTCTAGATACTGAGCTTCAGGTCAGCCAGGGCTACATAGTGAGACTGTAAATAAATAAATAAATAAATAAATGAAAAAAAAAAACCAAAACCAAAAAGCCGGGTGTGGTGGCGCATGCCTTCAGTCCCAGCACTTGGGAGGCAAAGGCAGGTCGATCTCTGTGAGTTCCAGGCCAGCCTGGTCTACACAGTGAGTTCTAGATCAGCTGGGGCTACAGGGAGACCCTGTCTCAAAAAGACACACACACACAAAACAAAAAACCAACAAAACAAAACAGAAAACAAAACCCAAAAGGGAATTACTATGGCAGACAGCAGGGACACTGGAGTGTTGGGACTCGGGAGGGTGGATGAGTGTCGCTGCTTGTGTGGGTAGGACTCACTTGGAGGTCCTCTTCTGACAGCAGGATGATGCTGGACAGATCTTCTTTCAGCCGCCTGGCCACGTTTTTCCACTTTACCCCTGCCCCACTGTCTGTTTCATCTGCATCAAAGGACTCTTGGGAAACCCAAGCTGTTCCTCCATCTGATATATGGGAAAAAAATTTCCATTCAAGATCAGTAAATTCCGATGCTGTTTTTGCCCCTGACACTAGCACACAGCACTGTGGAGGACTGCACATCCTTCTGACCACACAGGAACACTAACTCCTACCAAGGGCCTTAAGGGCCCCTCCTGTCTTCATTTCTGTGTGAAACTGCTCTGCATTCATCTTTGGGAAGAACTTAAGCCAGGTGCTGTGGCTCACACCTTTAATCCCAGCATTTAGGAGGCTGAAGCAGGAAGACTGTAGCAAGTTCAAAGCCAGCCTGGGCTACAGAGTGAGATCTTGCCTCAAAAAAAGAAAAAAAAAAAAAAAAGTAACTTAACCCCAAGATATGATCATGTATAGACCCACAACCCTACCTACCTCTCTTTTGATTAGTCTCTGTGTTTGGGTACGTTCTGGTTTTGTTTATTTTTTTGAGGCAGAGTATCATGCAGCCTAGGCTGGTTGCAAATTCACTATGTAGTCAAGGCTAGCCTTGGACTCCTAATCCTCCTGCGTCCTAAATGCTGGGATTCTAGGTGTCTGACACCATGCCCGGCTGCATTGTTTTAGTATATACACATGTTCGTCCTCACCAGCACTCTCCTGTATGTGCAGAGGTGGAGACAGTCCTGTCCCTACTAGGACAAGATGTTTCTTGCTGCTCCTTGGCCATAGGCACAATGGTGTCTGGTACGGCCCTGGCTGAAGAGTGATTTCCTCAATTTAGTAGCAAGGGATTTTTCCAGAGAAACTTCTTTAGCTCTCTGACTAGTGTTAGCCAACCATCAATCTCCAGTGATGATAGTGTCACCAACCCCAACAAGAGACTGCTGTGTGCCAGGTAACAGATCCCGCACATGATGCATTTGACAAGACCTTTAGACATTCTATAGGGGGTAAAGTACTGGCATCTAGTGGTAAGAGGCAAGGATGTTGCTAAACATCTCATAACGCCTCATATAATTGGTGGTAAATGGCAATACTATCATTGAGAAACCCTGGTCTGATATCCTCAGAGACAAGTACTGTAATTTTTTTGTCTTTTTGAGACAGGGTCTCCCTGTAGCCCCAGCTGTCCTGGAACTCACTATGTAGACAAGGCTGGCCTTGAACTCACAGAGATCCACCTGTAATTACTATTTTAATAAGGAACTGACAGGCCATGTAATATGCCCTAGGTCGCCTGGCTAGAAATTGGCAGGGCCAACTTCACACCCCCCAATTTCATCGACATTTTGCATTTTAGTTGCTATCAGTCTGAGTTACATACCTCACTCATCCTTATACCCATTGTGTCTGGCACACAGAAGGGTTCAGGTAAACATTTGCTGCCATAAGGGTTTTGACAGCCAGACAAACAGCAATTCCTTGCCTGAATTGTGACAGCTGTTGGAGATATGGCCAGAATTTTTTCTTTTTTTTTGGTCTTTTTGAGACAGGGTCTCCCTGTAGCCCCAGCTGTTGTCCTGGAACTCACGATGTAGACCAGGCTAGCCTTGCACTCAGAGATCGCCTGCCTCTGCCTCCAGAGCACTGGGATTAAAGGTGTGCACCACCACGCCTGGCATGGCCAGAATTTTTTACCTGAATTGTTGTATGTCCACTTCTCATTATAGGCCAATGCCACGAACTTCGTGTTGGAAGGTAGACAAAGGAAGTAGTCGTCATCATCCACTATTGTACCATCCTCTGCCAGGACCAGGGTGATTGGTGTCAGGGATTTATCAATGGCCAGTATGTCACAGGCTGAGAATAAAATATTTGGCAGGTGACAAACATTCATAAGGAAATAACATCTGTCTTGTGTAAACTCCGAAAGCTACCAGGAATTCCTGGTACATAATAATAACCACAGTAGCAGGGCTGGAGAGACAAATCAGCAGTTAAGAGCACTGACTGCTCTTGCAGAGGACTGGGGTTCAATTCCCAGCACCCACATGGCAGCTAAGAACCACCCTTAACTCCAGTTCCAGGGGAATTTGACACTCTCTTCTGACCTCTGCTGGCACTGCATGACATGGGTGCACTCACATACATGCAGGCCATACACTCATACACATAGAATAAAAATAATAAAATATTAAAAAAAAAAAAATACAGCCGGGCATGGTGGTGCGGGCCTTTAATCACAGCACTTGGGAGGCAGAGACAGGCGGATCTCTGTGAGTTCAAGGCCAGCCTGGAGGTGGGGCTACAGGGAGACCCTGTCTCAAAAAGACCAAAAAAAAATAAATAAATAAATACAATAACAACCATACTCTTAGCACTAATATAACATGGTATGCCTGGAAATATTTTAAGCTTTCTAAGTAAAGTATTAATCATGTAAGCTACTATTATTCTCAATTACAGGTTCAGAGAGATTAAGTAATATATTCAATCCTGCAGTAATTGGCAGAGCTGGGATTTGAAGCCAGTCTAGCCCTTGAAAATCTGTTTCCCAAAGCTACTCAGCACCCCCATATAGAAGCCATTTGAATCTTTGTACCAACCTCTGCCAGGACCATCTTAAATGAACACCCAACCAGAGCATGGTTTGATTCTTCGTGAATAAGTGAAACAGTCTTTTACAAGGAAGCATGGAAATTTACGTCATGCTAATTAGTAGAGGTGATAAACATTACAATTGAAATCTACCTGATGACTTTATAGACATACACAGGTGCCAAGGATCCAAGTGCGACTGATTATGACTAGTGATAATCAGATACATACAGATTAGAGATGCATGTGCCAACATCTCAGTGTTAGTAGCAAAAACAATGAGTCTTTCTG